TGGTAGGAACTATTAGGAAAGGGATAGAAAAGAAGGCAAAAAATATGTGCTTAGGTAGTTGCCTACATTTCTTTAAAAATCTGGTTCTGAGCCACTTTGGACTTCAGATCCCCATCTGTACAAGGGGGATAACAGCACTGCCCTACCTCACAGGGGGTTGTGAGGATAAATACATTAAAGACTGGGAGGTGCTAATTAATAGGAGCCGGCTAAATCGCTTGGATCAGAAAGTAGGTAGACACCATAGGGAAGCCGCCACCATAGATAAATAGAAACCATAGGCAGAGAAGTCAAAGCCACGGAGCCTCAAAACAACCAACAATAAATAACAGCCACTCCTATAATAATCAACATTTTTTATTGTCCTAGAGAACTGAAATCATCTACATTTTTCTGTGGTTTTTTTTAATTCTCTGCACTATTCCAAAGCTAAATTCAACAATAGTGTTCATCACAGCCTCAGACAGAACCAAGGCAGGGTTGTTTGTCTTTTATTTTCCAAATCGGAATACGATTACATCACATAGCGAGAAAGACGGGCGAGCGAGACAGAGAAAAAGAGGAGACACCTGGGCTCAGGGACCGGGAGAAACACGAGTTTTAAAATAAGGCAGACTACAACAAAAAAAAAAATAAAAAAAATTTTTTTCACTAAACCAATGACTTTTCCAGATACTCATCGTAGTTTCGTTTTTAAGAACTTTTTTTAATATGTGTATATATATATATTTTTTTTTGGTAAAAATGTCATCCTATTTTTTTCCGTTTTTTAAAAATATTTTGATAAATATTCCCCGGAAGCCTTTTTGAATTTCCTTTCGGATCCGTGACCGCAGCCAGGCGGGGGAAAATCAAACAAACCTTCCATGCATATTTCCACAACGGGCGCTGAATGAATGTGTCTTACATCCCCCTGGAGACCTGGACTTAGGTTGCCACTTGGACCACACGTGAGGTCTAGTTCCCGTTATTTTATAGGCACATTCCCTGGGGTCAAACTGGCGGCCCCTGAGGTTAGCGCTCTGACTCTCAGACATGCTCAGGTTGGCCGTTCGGGGCCTTAATATAGGTGGAACTGGCTCTCTGAGAATCTGCGGTATGCTTTGGTATTGATTCACAGCCACTGGTGTAACTAAGCACACAAGGTGCTGGGTGAAGGGTAATTGGGCCTAGAGAGCATAAAGGAACTCTAAAGCAACTCCCCCCCCAATCCCAAACACACCCCATGCTCTGAGCACAGGAAAAGCAACCAAGAATCAAGCCAGTGTCTTTCTCTGAGACTTGGTCTCTGGCTACCCCATTTAGGAGTCCGGCAGAGCCCCTGAGGGCACTAAGACTGTCTGGTGAGGGCTGGAAGCGCCATGGAGGCAGCACACCCCCAGCTCCTTGTGGTGTAGACACCCCCATTCCTGTCCCTCGCTTCCTGGGATGGTGGGTCTGGGAGCCCTGGAGGGGCAGAGCACAGAGCTGCTAGCAAAGGGAGCACCCCCAAAATGGCATCATTGATGGGTTCCCCTTGGCCAACAGGAGCTGCTGGAATGTGGGGCTTTTGGAGAAAGGGGATCTCCTTTAGGGGAGACTCCTCCTCACACAGATGTCTCCTAGAAAGACTCTGCCTAACAACGGCCCACCTCCTGCCATTGCCCAGCAGAATGCTCAAATGCACCTCCCAAAAAAGTCCCACAAAATCAGAGGCCCTGCGCTTGGAAATCTTCCAGCTGTCTCTGCGGAACAGCCGCTGCCCTGCTAGATCCGGGCGCTGAACACCTGGTACCCAGCTCTCCACCGGCCTGCCCGTGGGACAATCCTTGACACCCGCGCCAAACAAGCGGGTGGCATCGGTAGCATTTTGCACCCATGTACACGACTGCACAGGACGCGGGGCGCTGGAGAACCAGGCCCATTAGACAGGCAAAAAACAGGGCTAGAGGCAATGCAGAGTCCGCTCCTGTTCCCATTCATGTCAAACGGAAAAACCTGCAACAGGAGCAAGGCCAAAATCCAGAACTCAAGTAACCCACGTCCACCCTGCTTTGGCCTGCTAGGAGACATCCTGATCTGTGACCACGCAGGATCTACACGGAACCCCAGGCCCCGTGGCTGCATAGCCACGCCAAGCCAAGCCACTAGATTCGGAATGAAAACTACTTTCAACCCAGATCTTTGTTCCGCCTCGGGACAACAGTCATCAGCAAAGTGCCAGCGAATCACTGCTCTGTAGCCTCCAAGGTTTTTCTATCTTTGTCCTTCCAGGTGACGGTCACGAATACAGCTGGTTATGGGTGGGAGTGGGGGGTGGGAGGGCCAGTACGGAGGGGACATTTTTTCCTCTATTGCCTCAACAAAATTTATGTTTTTGAATTTTTTCAACTATAGAAAATTTTCCCCATTTTTTAAAAAGAAATGTAGTCAACATTTCAATGTTTGTCAAAGTGGCAGCCAAAGTTTCAAAATTCCAGCAAGAATTGTGTCAAAAAGTCACCATTCCCACAAGAATTGGGTCACAATTTTAAAACTCCAGCAGGAATTTTGACCAGCTCTGGTCGCAAAAGTTTCGGAAACATCACATGGGTGGGCAGACAGCTGTATCAAAGCCCTTATCTCGTTGAGCAAATCTTTGGGTGTATCCTTTGCTTCCCTTAAAAGATTGAAGCAGACTGGCGAACCCAGGTGTCTGAGTTCTAGGAAGGTCACTAACTGCACCCTGATGTCTAATGGGTGGGGTGGGTTTTGGGGGGTAAAAATCTCCAATTCTTTTTCTCCACTATTTTCTCTATAGCTGTTTGAAATACAGGTAAAATTGCATGCAAGTGGTCAGCATTTTCCTCATTTCCCCCTCCCATAAATTCTGGAAATCTTGTGCCCGTCAGCACCGTAAGAAAACACTCAGATAAAACACAGCAACATGCAGAAATCTGTCTGCCCATCTAGCCCAACTGGCCACAATATCACCGATCAGACCAAACTAGGACTAGCAGCGATCACAGGTCTCTGCTAATTCCAAACCACCACGTGGATGCTAGAAGCGTTAAAACACTTTAGCAATTCAGTTAAAAACAATAATAAAAAAAACCCTACTGACATAAAGTAAGAGCGGTCTCTATATCAGAGTGCACACTTCATGGATTTTCGTGGGTTCACTCATTACCTCCCCCAATAGGAAGAGGGGGCAGAGTGTGCAGCGAATCGAGGGATTTCTGATCAGCTGAACACTTTGGAGGCAAGGGTTTGTGAGCTGTTGTCAAAAGAGTTCAGATCTGCTTGTAGTTTCCCCTGAAATCTACAGAATGACACCAGGGACAGACTGTCCGGATTCTTGGGATCACAGAAAGGATGGAAACGGCGGATAAAACTCGTCCCTCTCCTTATAGGCATATAGAGCAATCCTTACCACCACCTTTGAAATTTTGAAAATGAATTTAGTGCTGGGTGAAAGGTACTGGAGGGACAGCCCTAGCCCTCTTAATTCATAAGCTTGGGCCACACACATCATTCTACCATGTTTCCCCAGAGGGAAGAGTGTCTCATTTGGGCATTGGCTTCTCTGGCAGTCTCAGCAATTTGGGGGTGAATGGTGACGGTTTTCAGACACGCCTGTCCCCTGGTCCAAGAGCCGTCAATCATCACACAAAGGCCACAAAATGGTGCAACCATCCTCCACTGCACTGGATCCAAAATGGGGCCCCAGAGACAAAGAACTTCACAACCTCCCACTAATCTCCTGTCTGGGGCTAGCTGAAAGTGTTTTCCATCAAAACTGGTTTTTGACGGAAAATTGGGTTTGTGGCTAAATGAAATATTTTGGGAAAAATTTCTGTTTTGCCACAGAAATTTTGAATATATATATTTTTGGGGCTGACCAACCAAATGCCCCAAAACAGATAGATGTTGATTTGAAAATGCTGCCACAATGCATTGTGGGAATCTCCCAAGATGCACCATGGCCAGGGGCTGCCAAGATGAACTGCTTCTTCTCTCTAAGAAGCGAGACTCTGGTGCATCATGGGAGATGTACTCTGACCAGGGAGTCTGACCTGAACTACAACTCCCATGAGCCTCTGCAACAGCATTTCCCAGTTGACTTTTTTCAGTTTTTGGCCAAATTTTTTTGGTATTGAAATTCCTGCCAAAAAATCTAAATTTTCCCCAGGGAAAAAAAAAAAAAAAAAAAAAAAAAATTTAACAGCCAACTCTATCCCTGAGCCATCCAATCCCATCCTGTCCCAGCTCAGCTAAACGACCCACTGAAAGATGACCTGGTAAGACAGAGGTGCACATGGCTAGCACTTCCTGTAGTCAGCCTAGGACGGCAGCAAGGCTGGGGTTTTATGATGCCTTGAGAAAGCGGGCACCGACAGCAGAGCATCACTCGCCACCGAGTTTGAGGGGAGACCTTGCAAGGAACGAGACCTATCTAAGACTGTCTGACGGACAGGGGCTATGGACGACAGCAGCTGGGGCAAAGCGGGACATTACGCCCCTTGTCTTGTTTAAAGGGACTCGTGCCCATTAACAGAGCAAGAAGCCAATGGTGAATCCCATTTATGGAGCAGGGCATGCAGTTTGGTCAGGGATCTCTCTGGTGCATCCTCACAAAAGCAAGATTCCCAAACCTGATTGGTGCATCTCCCTCTGCCATTGCTCTTCTGGGATTCAGAACTGGAAACAGACCAATGGGCCATGATTCACATTTACACGAAAGCCCCCTGACATTGCTCGGGCCACGGAAAGGGTCCTTCGGGCGCACTTTAAGGCCCTTTTAACACGGCTCATGCAGCATCCCGGGGCCTTAGTGTCAATGAGAAGAAGGCCCAGTTCATCTAAATGTTCCGGACATCAAGGAAACCCCTCAAAAACAAAACAAATCTATCCAGCAATTCTTGAAAGAGACAGACGCCAACTCTGCCTCTCCTCCCCAGCTTTCCGGAGATCACCTGACTTTAAACCCTCGCGAAAGCACCACCGAAGAGAAAGCAATTCGTAGGAAGTGATAGGAAACATTTTAAAAAGGCATGAATCGCTTTTATTTCAAATCAACTGATCAGCGCCCCCTAGAAATCACTATTACAAGCATGCGCCCTGCTACGGGTGGGCGGGGGGGAGGGAGGGGGGAGGAGAGACGGGATGGTTCGTGTTACTGGTTTCTTTTTATTTCTTTTTTCCCGAATTGCAGATGCGACGAGCCGATGAGGAACGAAACTGTTTAGCACCCAGGGAGCCCAGCGGGAAAGGAACAGCCCAGACGATCAGCTCAGCTTGGGAAGGCCGGCCAGCTACAGACTGCGGGAGTGGAGAAGGAACAGGGAAGAACATTAAGGGCGATGAACGTTGTGGTGGCAGCAATCAGGATCAGGGCCGCATGGCGGAGGATAACGGGGGGGCTGTCTCCTGCAATCGGATCCTGCCTGGAACTCTCCCATCCAAGGAGTAACCAAGCCTGGCATTTTGACCCCCAGCAGAAGGGCGGAGGTCTTGTTATGCTTCCCATCCGCCCCCGTTTCTTACATCCCTTTCCCCCTGAAGCAGACGGGCAAAGTCCTGCTGATTTCCATGTGACCTGCACCAGACCCTTAGGGCCTGATGCTGTGATGGGAACCAGCCTTCCTCCCCTGTAGAGGTGACGTGCCAGACCCTGCCCTCCTCCAGTCCCCTACCTCTCCTTGTGATCTCTGATTTCCTCCGCGGCGGCTTTCTCCTTCCCCTCTGGCTTGGCCTCTCTCGCGTCCGGGACTCCAGCGGGGTCGCTGTTCTTCTCTTTCTCCCCTTCGGCGGGGCTGGGCTTCTGTTTCTCTCCCTCCTTGGGGCCTTCTTCGTTCTCTACTTTCTTCTCCCCTTCCTGGCCCTCCGCCTCTTTGGCGCGTTTAGGGGAGTCCTGCCAACGGGAAGGTGTCAACCGGGACCCACAGCGCCGCCGCCCCCTCCCTGCCCGGGTGCTGAGAGAGGTCCTGAGCTGGCTAATACGAGGCCCTTGTCTGCAGGCACAGATCCCCTCCCACCAGCACCGTGTGGGGGTGTCTCTGATCTTTTCTCAGAGCGCAATCCCCCAACCCCCATCTCAGGGACCAGCCCTGTTCCCCAGTCTCAGGGACGGGCCCTGATCTTTACTCCCTGAGCTTGGAGTTCAGGGCATGGGGACAGTGCTGTCTGGGTCTGTCTCCGATCTACAGCCCGCTCCCTCCCTGGGCAGCTCACCGGAGGCCTCCCCCCAACCGCTACCTCCAAGGCATCTTCCGCTTTCCGCTTGATCCCAGCCTTCTCGTTCTTCTCCTTGGTTTGCTCGTCGATCACCAGCTTGCCCTCCTCGTCACTGCTGCCCTCCGCGTTGCCTTTCTTCTCACCGTCGCCCTCCGGCTCCTGCTCAGGTTCAGCGTCCTCTGGGCAGCTCTTCTTCTGGGTCGGCTGCAGGAGGACACGGGGGAGGGACGACAGACAGACAGACGGACGGAGGAAAATGGAAGGGGGATACAGTTATTGCAAGGTGGTAGGAAGACCGGTGCCCTTGGCTCTGCCCCTCACGCCTGACAGCTGTTCCCCGGTGCCAGCTGCTGTCCAGGGTCAGGGATGGTTCTACACAGCCTATTTCTTCCCCCACGACGATAGCACCTTGCAGCCGGTGGCCTCTCAAAGCACTGTGCAGCCGCAGCCAAAGGACACACAGAGAGAGCTGCAGCCACTTCTGGGGTGGAGCGTGACAACAGCTCGTGGGAGAGGAAGCAGAAAAGTTTCAACGGCAGGGGGAATTTAGGGAGGCGGGACTGAGTTTGCCGATTTTTGACCAGGACTCGGGCCAACACCCTCAACGCCTATGAAAAGATGGGTCTTGAATGACCCGAAGTCCTTGCTTTTAGCCATCTTCCAGAATATGGCACCTCCCAGAAGCAAAGCACCCTCTGGGGTACTGCCTCCCAGAGAAGAACGCCCCTCTGTGAATGCCCCAACCCCACTTGCCGAGTACCTAGAATGTCTTGGAGGTCTCCGATCCACAACCCAGCCCTCGCTTAGCTAATAAGAGCTGACAGCATCCCAGCAGAATGCAGGCCTGCTGCAGGCTACCCAGAGGAAAATTTTAGTCAACACAACGAGATTGCAAAGCAGAACATTCTGCAGCCAGCAGAGAAAACCCACCCCCGAAACGTCAGTGCCGTGGGTTCACTCACTGATTCAAGTCATGGAAGACGCTGCTCCACCCGCCCCTTGCACCTTCAGAAGCTATTACTCTTGACAGGGTAAAGAGAACAGGCAGCGTGAGCTCAAGGTTCAAGCACTGGACAAGGGCTCAAGGGATCTTGGTTATATTCCCAGATCTACCAATGGGTGATCTCGAGCAATTCGCCCCCTCTCCTCCCGGCCTCAGTTTCCTCTCCCACGCTTTGCTCGTGTGGTGTATTGGACATACAGCTCCTCCCACCCGATATCGGTTGGGGTCTCTAATACTGTCATAACGATCATCATAAGTGGGCAATTAAAACAGATTCATCCTTGAACCTGGAGCTGATCAAAGTTTTCCTGTAGAGATTCCCCACCCCAAAGCGGCTTTTCAGCAAAACTGAAATTCTTGTGAAAAACTTCTATTTTTGTCAAAACAATAATCGTAATATGGCGTTTCACTGAAAAACTGAAAGCCAACATTTTTTGATTTTAAACCAGAACATTTTCAGTTTTGGGGATTTTGACTTTTCAACAAAGTTTTAATCTAAAAATTTTCATGGGTGGGGAGAGGGGAGAGAAATAATTTTCCCACTGTCTTCACTCCCCCCTGTAAGGGACTGAAGGAATAAGGCTCTCGTTAACTTCAACCAACGTTGGATCAGGGCAGGAAAGATTGAGGTCAGCTTTCCTGTCCTATCCCCATTTTACAGACAGAGAAACTGAGGCACAAAGAGGGGCAGTAACTGATTAAGATCACCCAGCAAACTGGGGCAGAGCTGGGAATAGATTCCAGGAGTCCCAGCGCCTCCTGCTCTAACCACTCGACCCCACTCCCCTGCCAGAGACAGAATCCAGGAGTCCTGACTTCCAGCCCCATACTTTACCCACATAACTAAATTCCCTCTCTCCCTTGAGGATTACCTGTCTTTAGGAGAGTGGTATCTTGAGCTCATGCCTGAAAAGATCACTGGGTTGGGGTCACTTAACCCTTTCAAACCGCCCCGCTCACCTTCCCCAAAGCCCCGACTTAGGATGTAGGATGTCTCTCTCCAGTGCCTGTCCCCAGCAACTACAACAACCTGCTACTGGCACACCAGGGGAGAAATCACTACTTCGCTCCAGTGGAAGACGCTTGGGTTTTTGCTGGCAAAGGTCCTGGGTTCGATCCCCGCCGAAAGCCATAATGCCAGCATGGATTTGCCCATCGCTTTCTTGTATAACAAAGGAGCCCAGAGTGGAGTTGCTACAGGTAAAATTCACCTCTGGGCAAAGGATGTGCGGGCCTCTGCCCGAGGACAAACTCTGCCCTATGGGAATCAGCCGGGGGCCAGCAGAGAAGTTTAACAGGTAGACGCACCTGATACCCAGAGGCTTTGACGGTCGGGTTGTTCTCGATCTCCCACAAGCCTTCGCTGAACCCTTTCCGTTTGTTGGGCTTCCCGAACTTCTCCTTGCACTCTTCGTAGGGGAAGAGGTCTTTGGGACCCAGGAACGCCCTGCATGGTGGAAAAGAGAAGAAGCAGTAATGACAGGCCACGCGCGATACGCCTCCACAGCACCCCCTCGCTGAGGATTGCTAGGCAAACGTTCCAGCCGCAACCTGTCTGGGAGGCTGGATCCGCTGGTGAAACTGAGGCACCAGGCATGGAAGTAACTTGGGGATTTCAAAGGCATCTGAGGGAGAGAAACACCCAACTCCTACAGAAAGTCAGCTGGTCCCCTAGGAACTTCGTAAATCCCCACTCTGATTTCCTGGATCTGCCTTATCCAAGTTTTTTGTCGGTGAATTCAATATTGGGGCTTATTAAAAACAACCCTCCGTTGCTTCAACAGAACTCTGCATTGGGGGGAGCGGGGGTTGTTACATCACTGGGCGGGGGGCTCTCTTGAAACTTCTCCACGATCCAGATCACGAATGTTCCTACAGCTTCCCCCACCCGCCCAGATACAGCAAACCTGGCTATATTCCTAGCACCACAATGATCAAACCAACCTCCAGTGGCATTAAATACCTTGATGTGACCCCACCCAGGCACTGAGCTGGGAAAGGGTGCTGCTGGGTTGGAGGCAGACAGGCCTACGCTGGTCAGGGGGATATTAACATTTCTATTATTATTTGCATTGCAGTAGCTCCTAGGAGCCCTAGCCACGGACCAAGAGCCCATGGCGCTAGGCGCTGTACAAACACATGGTCCCTGCCCCAAGGAGCTTACAATGGGAATATCTTGGTCTATTACATTCATCTTATTTTTAGTGTCGGTCTGTTGGAGGAGGGAAGCTCCCACCCACAGGGGACAGCTCTGGTTACACCACAGGAAAGGGGAAGGCACCAATGGAGACCATTTTCTCCCTGATGTCGTTTAATGCTAGGCCTCCCCCTTGTCTTGCTCCCATGCCCCTCCCTCATCACCATCTCCCCTCTGTCCCGGTGAGGGACACACCTCATGACACGAGAGCACGGTGTGTGTGTGGTGGGGGGTCTTGCTGGAAAGAGACTGGGTGCCCCTCGATGGCTCTGCTAACATTTGAACACAAGACCCTATCCTTGGCCAACTGATGCGTTTGCCTTACCCCTGCTCACGTGATTCTGACTGACACCCCCATCTCACTCCCCCACACACACATTCCTCTGCCCTTACACACACGTGTGTTCCCCCCCTCCCCGCCCCCATTTTAAAAATCTCACTCACGTTTCATGGGTCCCGAAGAAGAAGACTTGGTATTTATTGGAGGAGGATTTGACGGCGGCTTCTGGCATCTCGTCGATCTGTTCAGGGGACACAAATTGTGGGGTGAGACACAGAGAACGAACAGCCCCCTACGCCCCAACCCAAAGCCACGCTGAATGGACGCAGCTCCTTCCCCCGACTGTTTTCACCCAAGAGTTACACACACACACAAAACTCACACCTGGTTTGTTGAGGTGCCAGCGCACCCCGATCTTTACACGGCACCTCAACAAACGAGGCGTGAGTTTTGTGTGTGTGTGTGTGTGTGTGTGTGTGTGTAACATTCGAGCCTCAGCCGGGCACAACAATGCTCAGAGATGAATTGAGAACAAAGGCCAGGTTGTTCAGCAACCCTTGATCTCCAAAGTTCTCCAGGAAAGAAGATGGAAATATTTGGGACATGTGTTAGAGGCCAATCGAAAGCATCCCTCCACCCTTCAGCAAAGGGTCGATGTATGAGCTTTAACAATCCAAATCTTCCGTGTTTGTACAGCGCCTTGCTCTTCCAGAGCACCTTTCATGGGCAGATCTCAAAGCGCTTCACAAAGGAAGGTCAGTGTCATTAGCCCCATTTTACAGATGGGGAAACCGAGGCTCAGAGCGGGGAAGTGACTTGCCCAAGGTCACCCAGCAGGCAGAGCCAGGATATAGAGATTGTGCAAAGAGCGGCCCAGGACAGACAGGTATGTGCAGCCTCGTGGATGCGCTAAGCGATGTGTCATGGCGTAGGCCGGTTTCCAGTTACTTGGAAATGAATCATTTACTGACAAACACACAAGAAAAAAGCAAATAATGTGTTTAAGACGTAGTATCCAACCAGCTGCAGGGCTAGCCGAGGAAATTTGCAAATTAAATTATTTGCCCATTGGCAGGGGAGGTGCTGGAGGGGTGAGAATCTTAACATAACACTCGCAGGGAATATTATTTTGTGTGCCTTGAGCCGAGGGCCAGGTTAGCAGAAAGGAGCTAGCAGCACCAGTCTGGCCTCGAGTCGCGCACGGATCAGGGCATGGGCGGAGATCAGGGCCAGACATTGTTCTTGCCCCACAGAGCTCACAGTCTAGACAAAGGAAGGATTTATTACCTCCATTTTACAGAAGGGAAACTGAGGCATGGGACCGGACCAGGGATTAAAGTCAGCTCTCCAGCCCAGTGCCTTCCCCACACACCCACCCTTTCTCCCAGGGGGCTCTTAACCAGGCTTCCTCTGCCCAGCGTGAAGGGGGATTTTACATCCTGAGGCTGGGCTATACACACCAGCCATCCCCGAATACACTGTCCCACCTGCTGCTGGTGCTTCTTTGCATGTGTGTTGCTCAGGTGGTCTGTCCTTGCTGTGGCATTATGGGATAGCTACCCAGAGCTCCCCTGCACACTCCCCCCCCCCCCACACACACACAGCAGGGACCGTCTCTTGTTTTGGGCATGCACCAATCCCAGCTGAGACCTCTGAGCACTGGCGAAACATGACTGGAATGATTAACCATTTTCCCAGAATGCACCAGCCAGGTGTCATGGTTGGTAGCCGTACAGCTGCCCCAAGATAGGTGACTTGTGGCGGGGCTGGGACCAAAGCTGCCGGTCAGCACAACTTCCCCATGTGAGTTGTCGTCAGCCAGAGCAGTGCGAGGATCCATTGTTGCACCTGTAGTGTGGACAGGACCTGCACGCTGGTTTTGTACCAACACGATTTATTAACTTGCTTTGCGATAGCGCCCGTGGCGCCAGGCGCTGTACAAACACAGAATGAAAGGACAGCCCCTACCCCAAAGAGTTTCCAACCGTCCTATGTCCCTGGGCACAGCGGATGGGGTAAATCAAGCCAGCAGCATAGCTTTGAAGCACATCTCTGATCCCAGGGCAGTCAGCAGCCCCAACTTCATAGAACATTCACCCTGCAGACCTTAATATATTGAACCTTGCAAACAGGGGCATGATCCTCTACCACCCTCGCACAGCCATTCAAACCAGTGCAAAACCGGGGGCCGAAACACAACCAAACCCCCAAGGATCTGGCCTGGCGTGAACGAATGAAATACAGCCAGAGAACCCAGCAGGCATAGGTCGGGTGTGCAAATAACCTCCGCAGTGATCATGGACATTTCACTCCGACTTCTGCTGGACACCCGCAAGCTCTCAGGCAGCCAATTAACTCCTCGCTACTAAATTATGCCTGCCACAGAAATACCCTCCCTCTTGCTAAAAACCTTACTTTTCCTGCTCTCCCCCGCCCGCCTCCAAACCCAGCCTCTGCAACTGGTGACAACACAGGGCACGGCCCTGAAGAGCGAGAGATGATTTAGGATTGGCTCTCTTCCTAGCCAACTGTAAGCTCTTGTCTAGACTGGCTCAGACATATTTAGCTCAGCAAATTCGCGGGCCCGCGCTAGGGCCGTGTGCTAAAAGGAATGTCCGTTTCAGAGAATCTGGGGACAGTTGTAACAAAGCAGGAAAAAAAACCCCACCCACAGATCAGATCCAATCAGGACAGCGCTGAGATGGGGAAGGGGAAATTTCCAACTATCAGAGTTGCTTTTTCCTCCCGTACAATTGAGTTGGGCCTGCTCGTGTGTTCACTCCTCTGTGTGTTTATTCTCACGGGGAGGCATGATCTGAAACCATGGTTCTCAACCAAGGGGACACGTACCCCTGGGGGTACGCAGAGTTCTTCCAGGGGGTACATCAGCTCCTCTAGATATTTGCCTAGTTTTACAACAGGCTAAATAAAAAGCCCTAAGGAAGTCAGTACAAACTAAAATTTCATATTTCAGAGTAGCAGCCGTGTTAGTCTGTATCCGCAAAAAGAAGAACAAAATTTCATACAATGACTTGTTTATACTGCTCTGTGTACTATACCCTGAAATGTAAGCACAATATTTATAGTCCAATTGGTTTATTTTATAATTATGTGGGGAAAACGAGCAAGTCAGCTACTTTTCAGTAACTGTCGTGTTTTTATGGCAGATTTTGTAAGCAAGTCCTTTTTAAGTGAGATGAAACCTGGGGGTACGAAAGACAAATCAGACTCCTGAAAAGGGGACAGTCGTCTGGAAAGGTTGAGAGCCGCTGGTCTGAAACATACGTAGATCTGAAGGTTGGGGGAGGGAGGGTGGAGGTAGACCAAGGATCCGTGGATCTAGACTGGCAGAGGGCCCACGGACTTGGTGTAACTCTAAAACAGTGGAGTTGGCTCGCTGGGGTGGAGTCCGTTAGCAATTGGGAGCCAGAGAGAGCATTGGTGGGGGGAGCCACTTTGATTTGTTGCCACTTAATCTGAGCAGTAAGGTTCTTTCCACAGCACTACCGTTACCCCCCAGGGTTGGCCGCTGGGCGATTAAACGGTGCAGCTGGAAAGCGGGCAAGGCTTTCAAACCGGTTTGGGCGCCGACTGATTCCTACGTCCAAACACAGCAATTTCAACCCGCCTAAGAGGGCAACAAAGCAAAACAAATCCAAACGCCATTTAGCAACCAGCTGCTCTCTCTCCTGGCCCAATGAAACAGCCACGAATTCAATCAGGAACGTTTCACTGCAAGATTTAACGCAAATGCACATAGACACGCAGCCTCCAACCGGCCCTAACTCCTACGCCCGACGGTCTGCACCAATCTACACATTGCAACAAGCTTTGGAATTCCCCACCCAGCCCCCTACCCAGGTCCAGCTGCTGCAGGCAGGGAGCGTCTTTTGGGGCTGCGTTTGCACAGTGCGTGGTACCAGGGAGCCCTGACCAGAGCCCTAGCTGGTACTGCAAACACGAATAATGACCAGAAACGTTAATTTTTCTGGTTATTCCTCCGTTTTCCAGGATTCTTCCGAACTGGGCCCCACGCGGTGACAGGGTCAAGCTGTTTAAAAACGATTCTCTCGTGTGACGTTTTAGATCTTTGCAAAAATCCTGCACTGATGCAGGGGGGGCTTGGCGGGTGGGTAGGAAAATAAGCCGGGGAGGGACCAGACTGAATAGTCTTGATTCCAAGGCAACATCGCAGAATCTTCTTTACACCAACGCTCAAGGCAGGAGTCAAGGCCCCTTTTCCAAATCGCTTTCTCATGGCAGCACCAGATCCGGGCATTTCGGGACGGTCATTTCCACAGCAAACATTCAAAATGTTCCTAGAAGCCGTGCTGGTATCCAGGAAAAACGGGCTGGGCAGAATACAACATGCAAGACCCAAAGCATCCCCCCCAACCCGCTTGTTTCATAAATCGCCCTTCCCCGCAGCAGCTGGTCTAGGGAACACGACACCATGACACAGAGAAATTCCTCAGCCGCCACACACCTCCGCTGCATGGGGTGTCTGACTTCAACCACAACATTAAAATTCTCCACAGCAGGCTGGGATAACAATGCAGCTTTTCCACTTGGCTGGTGATCAAAGGCTGCCCTGCGGGATGTCTGGGGTGGGGTGGGGGAGCTAGGGGGTGGGAGGTCATATCCCGGGGCCCTTTGCATGCAGGGAATAGAAAGCCCCGCGCCTAAAAAGAAATAATCACTCCTCCAACGTCTGCCCTCCACTCCTTGGTTTAGAAAGTAGGCAGGAGTGGGGGAAGGGGGTCAATTGTAATTGGATTGGCTGCAAACCATCTAGAAAGGCGAGGGGCGCTGTTCAAGTGATGCAGCGTGGGTTAGTAGTGGGGGGTGGGGAGCTGGGAATCGGGACTCCTGGGTTCTAATCCCAGTTCTGGGAGGGAAGCGTTGTCCGGTGGGTTAGAGCAAAAGGCCCTGGGTGTCAGGCCTCCTGGAAGCTCTGCTGCTGCTGCTGTGCAGTGTGGCTTTCATCAAGTCACTCGTGCCACTCTCTCTGCCTCAGTTTCCCCATCTACGAAATGGGGGACAAGCTGTTTATAAAGAGCTCTGAGATCTGTGTAAGCGCAACATCTCAAACATCCCCTGGTCTTGGACCTGCCCCCCCCCCAATTTACACTCCCCCCCCATCCCCTACACACACACCCCCAACTCCATCCCCCCCACCACATAACCCGGCCCCCCCGTCCCGCCAGGTGACCACACACACCAGCTCCCCGCACTGTCACA